ACTATTATTATTATTATTAATGAACAAAAAAAAATAAAAATAAAAATTGATTTTTTTTCTCTCTTTTTATTCTCTTATCTCTAACGTATAGGTAGAGTTTTCTTCCGGCCGTAGTAGAGGATATACCGCATTCATCTCCATGGTGCTATGGGTTTCTTGTTTAGTGAGTTTTATTGCTTTATTATCTTCCTGCGGTGCGCTTGGCGATGGTGGTGGTGGTGGATTCGGCTGTTGTCTTTCAGGTCGCCCCCGTCTTCCCAGATGTAATAAAAGATTTGTAAGAGAATCCCAGATCGCTCCAAGTAGATATATTGACCATCCATATACGGTATGTAAGGCATATCCGTGCACAATTGTGTCTAATATTAACTTGGAAACTCTTGCAATTAGATATGTGCCGAGTAGTCCAGCGCTGATATTGCCGAAAAATAGAAACTTATTCCAGAATTTTTTCCAAGCGGAAGCGGCTATCTTTTCCATTGATGCTTCATCTAATAAATTGGAAATGGAGCCCCCTTGTAGAGAGGTGGATCTTCCCATTACTCCTCTTGCTACGGTGTTGAGTACTGATGGTCGCTCAGCCGGAAACATTATATGATCTCTAAGATCTCTTAACTCTCCTTCAGAATATATGCCACTAGTGGCTAGTGACCCTGGGTTGATGTACTTCCAAGTAGGCTTGGTTAATGGTTTCATAATCGTTGGTGGTAAAGTATCTACCGGATTAGGTATAAATTTGTACCATGAATCTCCTAAGAGGTACATGGCAGGTGCAAATGGATTGCATGCAGTTTGTGTTCCGTGTTGTAATAATATATGAGTCTGAGGCGTTAAGAAATGTGTTCGATTTTCTCGGATTACTGGTAATTGATCGTAACATTCTTTTGTTCTTGCGAGTTTTACATCTATTGGTACGCATTTGACTATGTGAATTACTTCCCCTGCTAAGAGAGCCATATATCCAGGTCCTTTCATTAGATGATATGCGAAAATATCAGGTGCTTGAGTAGCTATTGCTAATGCGTTATGCAACGTTCATTTCTCTAAATTACATTGGTGTAGTAATAAATTTCTATAAAGTTCGTTTATTTGAGTGCGGACGTGTTTCTCTACGTATACGAATTTAGAATATAGGTAAAAATATCGAGATTGGAGATTCCAGATTGCTTTTTAAAGACAGTGGTACCGCGTACGGTCTCGAAAATTAATAGTTTAGGATGCTCTGCTGTTATTAATGAATATCCACATGTATTGTATTTTTCTCCTAGTCAGTGCGAATACTGTGTCTTGTGTGGTTAAAGAGTAAACTGTTTGCGGATGATCTTTATCTTTATCGACTATTTTGTATGCGTACCCCTCGAATAATATTCCGAAATTATAAAGTTTGCAAATATCGGTAGGTACTGGTTCCCAATACGTATCTCCTCCTTCTACATCTGTACAATGTGTGGAGCTAAATTTACATGCTACACCCGATCTGAGCTGCACTCGATTAGTGTTTATTTTTACGTCTGCTATGTAATCTTGTAGCGTAATTCTTACGCTTGCGAGTACTATTACGTCTGTCCATGTTTCATAAGGATCGGAATATGCTCCCCCGATACAGCCTCCGTCATTGTCCACACTGCCAGCGAGTGTTATTGGACGTGTTATGGTTTGATTTGATCAGGGTGTCCTAGACCACCCGTACACCCCTTTTCTTTCAAAAACTAAGCATTTTAGAGAAAAATGTTTTGAATAAAAATTGTATGGTTTTGAGGGTAACATAAGATAGTGTCATTGGTTTGACCTTGGATGGCATCGTTAAGGTCAAGTCAAGAACACCTTTAATTTCTTAAATAAAATCTCCTATTTTTATTGCACATTCTTGTAGCTTATCTCGAGAGCTTTTCAAACACTATAATAAAGTATTTTTTCATTAAGTACTTTTTGAGTTATTTTATATTTTAATCTGACATATTTTGATATAAAAAATAAAATATCTCGTAAAATATTTAGTTTTCGATAATCTTACCGTAATACTTTTATGTACATAATAATGAGACAAATAAATTAGTAAGAAAAAAATAATTGTTTTTAAGAAAAAGTATGTAATTATTTACAATGTATTTTTTGAAACAATTATTTGTTTTTTTCTTTACACTACGATATCCATGGCTACTTTATCGAAAGAAGATCCTGGTGTGTCTGTAATTATCATAGATTGTTTTGTTTTAACTCGTACAAGTTTTTTCAATTAGCATTGTAAACATTGCTCTATGTATCGTTGAACATCTGCTTTCAAGTTTTCCTAGTAATAATTATGTTTTATTCGGTTGTAAGTTTTTGTGACTCCCCGGTGTCCTTCCGTTGGTAAACAATGCGTTTCACTGATTATAACGGAACGTAAATCTTTCGGTGGGTATTTAATTAGTCCGTGACAAATAATATTTTTAACGGTGAATATTGATTGTAAATGTAATTTGATATCATTCCATGGAACGTTATTAATAAATTCGGTTTTTGCAATACTAAATGTTTCTAATTATAAATCTTTAATCATATTTTGTAAATCTGCTAAGGTTTTAATAATTTGGTTAAGGGTAGCCGTAGGGCCTTCTCGCTGTCCCTCGCTGATGGGTAAAGCCACATGATATTGATTTTTATGTTTTATGGCCTTAGCCTTTTCTAAGACAAGAAATCCTAGGTTTGGAAGTTCTTTTCGTTTGAAAAGTTTTTGTGAGCCTGAATCTAAAGGTTTTCCCTGGGTGTCGACGAAATATACCATGTTATCTTTTTGTAAAAATAATATGTTGGGAGAATAATTCGGATCTCGCGGGAGGACAGGCCTTCTCTCGCGGAGCTGCTTCCAGCGCCCGGCGGCAGCACCTCTCGGATCACATGTAGACCCTATCTCTCCCCCCAAGAAAGACTCGGTTCCTTTTTTTCTTAGTTAGAGACAGAGAGCCATTGCTTCGTACCGGTATTCTAACTGTGGTGCTCGTACGGT